CATGTAGAAGGTCTTGTGTTCAAGACTCATAAGCAAATAAATAAATAAATAGATAGATAGATAGATAAATAAAAAAATTACGAAAGCCAATTAGATCTGTGGAAAACCCCATATTCTAATTGAAGAGTACTATACCTCATAGTTTATGTTACTTAAAAATATTTCATCTTCAGTTTTAAATCATTCCTTTTGCCAGAAATAAAATTATGTAAAAAATGGATTATTATTTAGATTGAGTGGTCAGTGAAATAACAAATCAGATCTGTGCCTAATAAGAAAATGTAACAGAGCATCTTATAATTAGTTAGTAATATTAAGTTAAAGGTTATGATACCAATAAATTGTTCAGCTGTGGAAACACATTTGTTATTCAGATGTTCAATTTACATTTTCTAGAGTTGGGCTAAAATTTCCCACATATCTATGAGGCATTATAATTAATAGATGTAGTTAATTTAAGGCATCAATGCACTGTGAATACTAACCAGGAATCTCATAATAAGTTTGAGTAATGAACTCAAATTTTATTTTATCTTCTTAGCACTACAGTCTCATTATGATATTAATTGATAGCAGCAATAAAATGTATTTATGAAAAAAAGAGTTTTATGATGTCATTTTTCTATAATGAAGGTATACTTTAATAATAACCTTGGAATTATCATTAGCATTTGACTGGTTTTTACTTTTAAATATAGATCAAAAATATCATTCCACACTTCATAATGTTCAGAGAAAGTATATTCAAGTAATTATAAAGTTGAAAATATGATCCACTAAATAAAGCTTCACTTTATAGTTTAAAAAGAGAAAAAATTGTATTCAGACTCTTCTGAGTCTTGGAGGCAAGTAATCAAAGTAAGCCTTCTAAACAGTTACAGTCATTGCTTGATTTTATGCCTGTAAACAATCCTTACTCCAGTCTCCCAATATTATGTATTTATTTGAATTAAGCTTAAAAAACACTACTTTTTCAGAATAATAAATTTTGTTTGCTTTTTGTCTCCACAATATATTATTTTGTGCCTTCTTCTCAGAAATTTGTGCCAGCACCAATTTGCGTAAATCTCATCTAGTAATAGATGAGTTTTCACAATTAGAATTTTCTCACCCCAGATTTCAAAATAAATCCAACTTCATCTTTAGTTTCATAAATTGAAGTCTGATATTGATCATTGAAGAGGGTGCTTAGTTATAAGGGCCTGAAAATCTTGATTTCATATAAGAGCTCCACCTCAGATTAAATTGTCTACTAGGGTTCATAAAAAATTTCAGAATTCTTTATGGAAATAAGTTAGAGTAGGATCACCAATCTGGGAAAAAGTTGATCTTTGTGCACTATCAGCACAAAATATCAGTCTGACCTACTGTTATACCTCCTTTAAGGGAACCAATCAGCAGATTATAACAAGGTTAGTTTAGGAATTTTACTGATAGATAACTTGATATCAATAAGTTGATAGATAAGATAGAAGACTAAAGCAATAAATCAAGACATCTGTAGGATCTGTATTCATATTAATTTCCTATGTGATGTAGCCATATAAAGAATGAGGTACCTGACACATATCCATATCATGGATCAGTGTGGGTGCTTAAGAGATATTTCTATTTGTGAAAGTGTTGGTTTCTCTGTCAATGAAACAAAGAACTTTGTAAATGAACCGTCATTTGAGTAAAAATTTAAAAGTTAAAGAGACATAGAGATACTGTACTTTCCTACTCCCGACTTCTTTAAAATACTAATATCTGATATGCTATGGGTGCTTCTGTGTATATGTACACACTTATGTAGGTATGTCATGTGTACATAGAGATATGTAAAATAAGGGCAAATTATGTCAGAATATCATGTGGGATTTTCATTGCATGATAACTTTAAATAGAGGAGAGAAAAGATTTCATACCTAATTTTTAAAAAAGAGGCTAAAATAAAAAGTTTTATAGATGAATCATTTTTTTCATTAGGAATTAACAATCTTTTAATCTTAAATTAACCTTACAAGGTCACTCAGATAAATTTAGCTTTACTTTTTTACCAAGCAGAATAACACAATAATCATTTCAAAGTTTACATAGTTTCACCTTCTTTTCTTCATTCAGTCTACTTTGCTCGTATTATAAACTTGCTGTGATCCCCTTTTCTCAAGATTATTTCTGTCTACTTGTTTGTGAAATCTAGGAATCACAACTTCATTCATATTTCCAGTTCTATAATTTATTTCTGTTGTGGTCATAAGAAATATATGTATCCACTCTGAAACTCATTTTCCAAATATTTAAATTCTGAAAAATAGCAATTATCTTAAAGACAAAGAATGCCTTAAGTAATTAAAATTTTATAACCTAAATTAAGATACTTATATAAATCAAAGCATTAGTAATAAATACTGCTAAGTCAAAAATTTTTCATATTGTGTACATTTTTTAGTATTTAATAAATCTGCTCCACTTTTGTCTTTAATTTCAGTTAATATAAAACTGTCAGCAAGGACTTCTTAATTTATAAATTGACCTAATTTTCCTTATATTATTTTTCATTTCACCCATTCTCCTTTTGCTATTACAACTTTTTGTGTTTTATATTATTTTAGTTAAGACAAATGGAGTTTTCCTTTCTTGTCTATTCAAAAAAGTATACCTAAGTAAATATTAATTAAATTCTCATCCTATTTGGCAAGAGTCTCTTAAAAGAACTCAATGTGACTAATCTGCCTATTTTCAAATTATAAAATTTATAGAATTTTATGGGTGAATCAAACATGCTATTTTTCTTTCTTTTTCATTCTCCTCCTTACCTCCACACAAGCCACTTTTATGATGGCGTTTTTGCAAGTCAGGGGGTGCTCAATTAATGTCACCCATGTCATGGCACTCTGTTTGAGAATTTATTTGTGGTCCATTATCATTAGTTTTAACGGGAACTCAGAACAGTATTTGTTCACAGGGCCATCCAAGTGCTCTGAAGTTTTGGCAAATTATATACTTAAGGTTTATCACACATTCTAATGTTAAAAAAAAATAAGAGCATTTCTACTCTTACATCTTATCTAAAAGATTCCAATGAGTTCTTTGTCATTTGCTGACAATCTTTCAAAGAAAGTCAAATAAAAACATAGTGAAACAAAACTGAAATTATGCCGTACAATTTGTTTTATTTGAATTAGTTAAGGAGCTTTAAAGAAAAATCTGCTTTTTCTTGGAAGTTCGTTAAGATGTCTTGAGAGAAATATGAGAAAATTGTTTCTTGAGTAAAGTATTGCATTGTAATAAAACACATGCCTCAGAATTCCTGATTGTTGACTTAAATTTGCCAAAAAGTCATTTTTTATTAGTTTTATTTTTCAAACAAACTTTCCAAATTTTCCAAATAAACTCCATTTGTTGAGGCTGTGCTGTTCAATATGGCAGCAACTGCTAGTAGCTATTAATATTAAAAATACATGAAATTAAAAACTTGACTTCCTTAGTAACACTATGTTTCAATTACTCAATTGGCATGTGTATCTAGTGGCTACCATTTTGAATATCCCAGATTATAGAGTACCTATCATTGTAGAAGATTATTTTGGAAAGTGTTGCTTTATAAATAGCATCTATCTTGCTACCCAGTTTAAAAAGTGATAAGCTTCTCATTTTTATAATAGGAAAATGTTTTATGAAACTGTATCCAAAAGCATTTTATACATGTGTATGTCTAAGCTCTGCTTAATGAAAATTATTACCAGTTCTATCCTTGTACTAATTATTTCATCATTCATATCTTAAAATAAAATAAATTATGTCACTGTGATCAAACAGGAATTATTACGTTTAGAAAGAGGCAAGAAGAAAATGACTGTTGGTAGCTTTCAGACTCCTTAATATTTTTTGCATTTCATGTTAAAGCAGATATCACAATAGTGACTTCACTAAAAATATTTACTTATGAATAATTAAACTCTTTCTATTTTACTTCTTATAGTCTAACATAACTGTATTTCACTGAAGTGATCTACTTCTGAATATATTCATGAAGAAATATATCTATAACATATCAATATCAGTTGAGAAGTTTTCCCATATTATATATCCTCCAGATCAAAATGTTTTGATGATATATATCAGGCTCTTACATATGTATTCTTTGAATACCTTTAAACTTTAGTCATATTGTCAATCATAGCCTAGCAGTAACTATAGTCAAAAAACATTTAATAAATTTTGGAAATCTCATATAAAATTTCATATTAATCCTAAATGAAATCTGCTCATTCAGTTGCTTTGTTCTATTTCCCATATGCAAATCCATGTTTTCTACCCATTCACAGAGCTTATAAGTAATTAAAAAGAATTGCCTATTTACTTTGTAAATATGTTCCGTTTACTGATACTTGGAAGATCATCAAATATGCCATCAATATGTCCCTTTGTCTTCCCTACCCTAAGACTCAAAGCCAATCAAGTAGAAGTTTTCTTTTTCACTAAAAGGTGTAGTTATTTTTACAGAAAATGAATATTGTGTGCTTTCTAAAATGAAACAAAATTATTCTTTTAATCTATGTATTCAGAAATGCTGGCATAGTAGTAAAAAAGTCATATTCATGTCTCAGATAAATGTATCCAGCATCTTTTCAAATGACAAGATAAGGCTTTATATCTCTAATAATCACTAAGAAAAATTGATAGTTCTGTTGATTCATTATTAATGTCTGCCTTTGCTTGTTTCAGTCAAGTTTGTAGTACTGCCATGTAAAACTGACTTGTAAGTGGCAAAATTGAGCTTCTCTAATCTCTATAATTATATGGAAAACTTAAATGTTTGAAGTTCACTATACATAGTACAGTACATAAAATATATGCAATTGCAAAAAATGGCATGGATTAATTTCCTCCTGTACGCTTTAATTAAACTGAAAATTTGAGGTCATAGTTTACTCAAAATTTGAAGAACACCAAGATCTTGGCCTGCTCTATGTAAAACAAGGTAATGAATTCAACAACATACTTTAAATACTCACCTTAATCAGTTGGTAGTTTTGAACTCCATTTATTCCTATATCAGGATCAATGGCGGCTGGGAGAGCATACCGAGAGTTTATAGCAGAGTTCTCTGGAATCGATATGTTGATAACCGTTGCCGGGAATAGTGGTGCATTATCATTTATATCTTCTATCAGAAAGCGAATTTTAATCAGTCTAAATATTTCATCTGGTAAAACAGCAACTTCCACTTCATAAAAGCAACGGGCATCTATAGAGATACCAGCACATAATTTCTCACGATCAATGCGAGCACCACTAGTAAAAATCTCACCAGTACCCTCTTCAATTCGAATCAGCGGCACATCCCCAGTCTTGTACACTAGCTTGAACTGCATAGGAGACGTTAAAGACTTGTCCGGAATGAGTGACAAATTGAGGTCTTTCAATAAGTCACCTATTAGGACGTTTTCTGGCATTTCTTCTCGTACTGTATAGTTCTTTTCCTGGGCGCCAGACTGAAACACAACGCATGCTAACAGCACTGCAAATATGTATGTCCCAGAGAACAAGTCCATAACAGGCACGTTTGTAACGATTCTTCGTACCAACACAAAGAACACTGACAAGACAAAACAAGAAAAGAGATACAGGGAAGAGAAAAAAGTATTTGTTAGGAAATCAACCGTAAATATACCTATTAACTACTCAGTTTTAAACTACATCATTAATTGAAATATTAGCAAAATTGACATTAATTAATGGATAACAAATTGGTTTTGTATCAAATATTATGTATTTTTACATTCAGAAAATGAAAGACACAAGCAAAATTATTATAAATATATCAAGATAGAAGTAATCAAAATAGCTAGAATAATTCCATACCTAAGAAAATGCAAAAGAGTACTTGTTACCAATTATAAAAATTATTAGTGTTCTTTTTTGTGAGTTTCTGACTTAACTTTCACAATGAATATTTTATAAAATACTCTGTATTTTCAATTCTTGGCATCAAAGTATAGACTTTGATCTGGATAAAAATAAGTAAAGAATCATGACGTAGCAAGCAGTGAGAAGGTTTGAGTTTAGAGAATAACAGTCCTTTTGAAGAGAAGGATTGATGTGACAAATGCCTAAGTATTGAAAAAAATAAGTGAAAAGTAGATTTGGATTTTCTTAAGCAAGAACAGATGTAAATTATAAAGGAGTAACTTTCAGATCAAAATAAGCAAAAGCTTCTTAAAAATTCCGGAAAGTTTTTTTCACTGGATAGATACTATCATTATATTTGGAGATATTTATACAATATAAAATCTTTATCATTAGTCAAAATCTTCAAATTCAGGGTTGTTTTTAAAGAGCAAGTACTTTAGTTTGTATTTTGAATATATCAATATATATTTGAAGCTTACATGAAGCTTACATTGACCTTTGGTTCAGTTACATGTGTATAATACATCATGATTCATTTTTATTCCTTCCCCTATCCACCCAACTGTCTCTGTTGAACTATAAACTCCATTTCTTCATTTTGATCATTATTGTTATTTTTAGTTTGTTTACATAACATATAATGTTTGCATTCACTGTGTGTGCTTTGTATATATAAATGACACATCTACATCTTTTTTACTTCCTCACTTCTCTTCTCAAACCCTTGATCTGTTAGAGTTCATTCCAATTGGAAAAGATTCTCTCTCTCTCTCTCTCTCTCTCTCTCTCTCTCTCTCTTTCTCTCTCTCTCTCTCTCTCTCTCTCTCTCTCTCTTTCTCTCTCTTTCTCTCTCTCTCTCTCTCTCTAACTATTCTCAATTTTGGTATTTATTTAAAATTATCTGACTGACATGAGAGATATCATAAAGCATTTAAATCTTCATATCTGATTTATTTCACTTAACATGTTTTCCAAGTGTATCCATTTTCCTAAAAAATACCTCCAATTTATTCTTTATAGCTCAATAGCACTCTATTGTGGATCAATACCACATTTTTTAATTCATTTGTATTTCTGGTAATACAGCCTGCTTCCTGGATTCTGTTATTATGAATAAAGCTGCCACAAGCAGTTGTATATATGTAGCCTGCAATGTGATAACTTTAATTCTTTTGGAAAGATACCTAGAATAAGAGTATCTGGGTCAAATGGACTTTCTTACCATGATTCATAGAGGAAACACTATATTGATTTCCAGAAGGATTATACTAGTTCACACACCCCCCAAAATATAGTGGGGTACACTTTTCAACACAGCCATAAAACTATTATTTCATTTCTTAATGCCTGCCATTCTTTCTGGTTATGAGATGAAATTTTAGGATTATTTTTAATTCTCACATTTTTAAAGGCCAGAGATGGTAAACAGTTTTTAAGTATTAATTAACTGTTTTGGCTTGTACTGAAAAGTGTCCATTTCATTTGCCTTTTTAAAACAAAAATCAAACTAAAGATCTTGAGTTTGTTGGGAAGGCACTTATGCTCGTGAGTCCGGCTCTGTACAAATGTCATTTACTCATTTTTTGATTGGGTTTTTTTGGGGGAAGGTGGTATAATTTTTCTCAATTCTTTATATATCCTAGATATTAGTACTCTAATGGAGAGCAGGCATAGTGCTTTTTCATAAATTAGGATTTCCCTTTGCTCTATTGCTTTCTTTACAGTGCAGGTTTTAGTTGGATAAAGTCCCTTTTGTTGATTCTTGGTGATATTACATTTGCAATTGGACTTCCGTTTTGAAAGTCTTTGGTTTCAGGAGTAACTCCTATTTTATTCTCCAGTAGGTTCATTGTTTTGGTTTTAATGTTTAAATTGATCATTCATTTTAATTTTAGTTTAGTATGTGGTTAGAGATACAGATTCAGTTTAAATCTTCTGCATATTTTTTCAAGCACAATTTGATAAATATGCTATTTTATTCTTCAATGTATACTCCTGGGTGCTTTTTTAGTGGTAAAATAGTGGAATGTGACTGGGGTATTTCTGTATCCTCTGTTCTGTTGCATTAATCTACATATCTGTTTTTGTGCCAGTATTATTTTTTTTTTTACTGTGACTTTGTACTGTAATTTGATGACATGTATTGTGATGCCTCCCCCTTTGCTCCTGTTGCTCAGGATTGCTTTTGCTGTCTGCTTTTCTTCTGGTTGATATGAACATTAAGGCTTCTTTCTCCAGATTTGTGAAAAGTCTTGCTGGAAGTATTTGTTTTGATTCGATTTGTTTTTAAAATTTTATTGGTATGTTTTAGATATACATAATGAAAAAAATTTATCATAGAGAATATGTACCTGGTGTGATATATCTTGCTACTTTATTTGCATTCCTTTCAACTCCTTTCAGCACCTCTCTTCCTATTTACATAAGTTTTGCTTCCATGTCTTTTCTTCTATTCTCTTTTTTTTGTCCTTTCTTTCACTGCCCCCCAACACTCATCTGTTCTCTTCTTGGTTACTTTTCTTTCCTTGTTGAGGCAAAACACCTGTCGCCTAAGAAGGAGGAAAGAAAGGTTTATTTAGCTTACAGTTTTTGGAGGTTTCAGTCCATATTCAACTGGTTCCAAGGCATGATGGCCTGGCTAATGGGAAGTGGTTCAAGGTAGCCACAAGCTACAAGATGAAAAAGATAAAAAAGGGAGGGAAAGCATACCTCCTTTCTTTCCTTATATTTCATGTCAGCTATTCACTCTTGATTGGGTACAGTACTTCCACTGCCAATCTGAGTACTAGACAATAAACCACTCACAAATGCTAGATTCAGCCGCTTCTATGACTAGATGAGGCTTGGGGGGCAATTCAAACACCAACCATACCATTCTCCTTCCCACCTGTACATGTTATAAAATGCACAAATAAATATAAATGCGTGAAGCCACCTTATCTTTGACAAGACAGTTAATCATATCCCTAGAAGAAAGCTGGCCTGTTTAAAAAATGGTGCTGGGAAAACTGGCTTTCTACATGCCAAAGATTAAAAGGAGGCACATATGTTTCACCATGCACTAAACAAAAATCAAAATCGATCAATGATCTAAATATTAAAGTAGAAGAACTAAATCTGCTAGAAGGTAGAATAGGTAGAACTCTTGAAAATATTTAAGTTTTGAAGACATAAAGACTGTGATTAAAAATTGTCACAGGAAATATCACAAAGAATCAGCAACTGGGACTACAACTAATTAAAAAGCTTCTATACAGCAAAAGAAAAAACCAACAGAGTAAACAGATAATGCACAGAGTGGGAAAAAATATTGTCATCTTTCCACATACCAAGAATAACATCTAGGATATGTAAAGTACTTTAAAATATCAGGCTGCTCAATAGGGACATAAATGGCTAACTTTGTCAAATTATAGAAACAAGGGTATATAAGACCCACTTTTACTCTTTAGTATATTTCTCTTGATTAACTACTATTTGTAATATTTTGACTTTTATCATATTACATATTGAATACTTAACACAAAAGATCACAAAAAGTTAAGTGTTGAATTTTTAATATTTATTGAGCATTTACAAAAAGCATAAAAACTCCCAAAATGCACTGATTTTGATACATAGTATCAAACAGAATAAGAGAAATAAATTCCTACTTGAACCACAATGAAAATTCCAATAACACTGTACAAAGAAAATTATCCTTACTTTAATTATCACAGCAAAGCTCTCTGCACACATAACAGCAATATGCTCCATATACACACATCACTTACACTGACAGCACATGCACTTTACTTTTGTAGCTGTTCTGTAGGGCATACTTGACATTTTTTTGGTCTTCATGGTTTTCTGGAGGTTCTTATTACATTACATTCTGTGTCATTATTAGGTCCATAAAATATCAATAAAATAATTTAGTAAATAATTTATAAGTATTGTGTGTTTAGAACAGATATTAACATTTTCAAATAATCTGTGTACTTTTTACAAAATCTAAAAGACAGCATAAGAAATAAGTTCCTATATAAGCTACAATGAAAACACCAATAGTGCTCTACCATAAAAACAGGCCATCTTATGACTGTAACATCCAAGTCAGTCTTCACATGTGCTAACTGCATGTTCCAAAAACAAGTATTGCTTGCTCTGATAGAACATTTTTTGGGGGGCTGGAGGTTTAGCTCAGTGGCATAAGCACCTGCCTTGCAAGCAGGCGGTCGTGAGTTCGATCCCCGGTACCGATAAAAATGAAAAAGACCAAAAAAAAAAAAAAAAAAAAAAAAGAACATTTTTTGTTTTCCCGTACTTCATTATAGGGCAGAATTGACATATTTTTGGTTTTCCTTTTGTTATAGTAGGTCTTTATGATGTTGCATTTGTCTGTTCAACTGTCAGCTTGTCAGCATGCTCCACAATTATTTTTCTTATTTCCTTGGGGAGAAAAATTTTTTTTTTGTTTTTTTTTTTCTGCTGTAAATGATCTTTTATAAGCTCCAGTTCCAATCCTCTAACAGAATTTCTCTGATATCTCACACTAATTACTGTCTTTGTAAGCTATCAAACAATTTATGCCACATGTTGATGAAAAATTAAAATATAACCTTTGGCCAATGCTTTGTGTTTCAAGGGACACTGTAGTTGCTGCATAATTCATCAACACCATCTATTTCATCTTCTGTTTTGTTGTTAAAGTTTTCCATCTCAGGTACCATTTAGTCAAGGTTTCCCTATCCATATTTTCAGCATGGTAAATAATTGATGCAGCAGTAGCAGTTTGTTATGCTTTGCCAAATATGAGGCCAGTGTTATATTATTCCAAAATCCAAAGATTGTTATATACAATTCTAAGTTTGAAATTACATTTTATTTGGATTTTCTGCCTTGTTCTCCTGAGTGCACTTCATGCATTAGTCAGTATCTACTCTGCTATAAATGTAAAATCAATTGGAAATCAGTAAACCAAATGTTGAACGTCACATTAGTCGGAGAAATGGCAACAACAGGTCTGTTCACATTATTCAGTATATTACTATGCAAATAAGGGCCTGATGGCAGATTACCAATAGAAATCTCTAAATTTGAAACTTAATAAGTTTTGGCATCTATGAGTATAACATTTTATGCCATATTTTTAACCATCACTTTTATAGAAACCATTTACATTCTTGCAATCACCATGAGATATATGCAATATATATAGAACTATGGATGCTTTCATTTCAGGTAGTAAGATATAATATAAATAATTTTAAACATTTAATTGAGTTTATAGGTACAATTTAGTTATATATAATGATCAAGTTCATCATAGGGAAACGATACATGATATAACTTAACTTGTATACTTTTCCCTCTTACCCCTCTGCTCCTCCAAGTCCTATTCTTATCTTTATGTACAAAACTTTGTTTCCATTTTAAACTTTGTTTCTCAATCTTTTCTTCCTTCCCTTTCTCCCCAACTCTGTAATTCCCCTTTCCTTTTGAACAGTTTCTTCTCATTTCACCATATCGCGTTTGTTGTTATTTTCACTTTCAATTTCACACACAGGGAAACAAAGTGATATTTACAAACGTGTGTCCAATTTATTTCTCTTAAGAGAATGGTTTCAAGTTCTATCTACTTGGCAATAAATGTCTCAAGTTAATACTTCTTTATGGAAGAGTAGTACTCCATTATATTAAAAATTATAACTTTTTAATCCATTCATCTGCTTATGGGTATTTTAGTTGGTTTTAAGATTTATTTATAACAAATTGTGCTGGTATAAACTTGGCTGTGCATATATCACTGTGCTTATGATGCTTTTAATTTTGGGGGGGAAGATACAAGAAGGGTAATGGCTGAGTAAAATTGGACTACTAGACCTAAATTTTAGAGGAATCTCCACACTGATTTTCACATTGGTTGCACAAGTGTATGCACACACTAACAGTAGAGACATGCTTCCTTTTCCCTGTGGCATAGCCAGTATGGTTGATTTCAAAAAATAGCCAATCATCCACTCTGCTCTGGACATGCATAGTAAAGGCACTGACCTATATTGAACCAAACTGGAGATTATGGATCATGTTGTGGTGATGTGCTCTGGCTAGCTGTGTGACAACAGGCTTTGAACTCCTCCTAGCCAGAGGCAAAAACCAGGTGATGCCACATTCGGAGTCAAACTCCACCTAACAGCCTGGGTCCTAGAGGTTCTGAACTCAACCTAGCCAGTAAGGCCTCCGCACCACACTCAAGTGTGTGTCTTTACTACTTGCACAGAGGATCCTAACTTCCCAGTATATTGACCCAATGCAATCTATCAAGGAAATGCTTAGACACCCTCACTGGTCACAAAAGTTCTAGGCCCCAGCAGCACTCCTGGAGTCTGTCCCTGCTAACAGCAAGAGGATCCAATCTTTGCCAAGCCCAGCATCCCAGAGCAACACAGCGCACTGCATATGTTGGACACCTGACCAGACTCACATGCCACATTGCAAAAGGATTTGATGCCATAGATTAGGTGTGTGCCATAGCTAGCCATGGGAATATCAGCAGATGGAAACTCTACACAGGCCAGTACTCCAGTGTGATCCATCAGGAGGGTGCCTGAGAAGTCACCCTGATTCCAGAGGAAAATGACAAAGTGAAACAGAAAGAGGCACTCTCAGTCCTCTAGTCCACTGAGGACAAACTCAAGAGACACTGAAATGGAAGACACTGGAAACTGCACAACTGAACTTTCTAAAATGATAGCAAATGAAGGAAACATCTCCATGAAGTTATAGAAAAAATCAGAACAAATAATCAGGCTGCAGATTTAGCTAAGTACCATAAGAGCCTGCCTGGCAAGAACAAGATAATGAACTGGATAACTGTACCAAAAAAAAAAAATCTCTCAGATGAAAAATGAAGTGACAAATATTATGAAAGAAATGTTGTGTATATCTAAAGATATAAATAAATAAATAAAATAACTGAAACTTTGAATGAACAATATGAGACAGAATTAGAATGCATGAAACAGATTCAAAAGGATATTCAAGAAATTAAAAATTCCAATGAAATATGGAAAATCTGCTTGAATGAACCTGGACATAGACTCTCAGACCTTGAAGACATGATTTAAGATTATGATTATGAAAGAAAAGCTCTCTTAAAAATAAAAAAGAAACCAATAAATGAAAAGTCATCTGCTTTAAGATGATACAAAGAGAAACAATATAAGATGGACAGGTGTCAATGAAAAAACAGGGGTCAACACAAATGACCTATGAAGACTATATGCAGAAATAATAACAGATTTTTTTTTCAAATTTGGGAAGAGAATCTGATATGCAGATAAGTGAGGAATACAGACCCCAAATAAATATAGCCAAAGTAAATATTCAACCATACATAATAATTATAATATCAGAAATTCAGCACATCAGAATATTAAAAGCTGTTACAGAAAAGAAATCTCCTATGAATAAAACTTAGCAAAATCATGGCAGACTTCTCAACACAAACTTTCAAGTCAAGAAGAGCTTGGAATGAAGTATTTCAAGTCCTGAAAAAATAAACAAC